AAAAAAAATTTAAAAAAAAAAAAAAAAAAAAAAAAAAAAACAGTACTTTATTTATACTTCTACCATTTTCTCATAATAATATATTAGGTTGTGATAATACATTAGGTATATTATTTAAATTTATGATTTTAATTTAGGTGAAATTACCTACGGCGGAAGAATAACGGATAATTGGGATTTGCGCTGCTTGAAAACGATTTTGGATAAATTTTTATCTTCGAAAACTCTCGACAAAGGTACTATAATCAATATAAAATTGCTCTTCATTCAATGGCAATGATCGAGCATCGTAAGAATTAAATATTTGTTTGAATTTTGAAAATGCAGATTATCTTTATTCTCCATCTGGAACATATTATGCACCAAGTTACGCAACGATCGAGGAATATCGCACATTCATTAGCAAATTTCCATTAATAGAGGATCCAGAAATATTCGGCATGCACGAAAATGCCAACACTGCTTTCCAGGTATAATATAACCAAGGCAAATGGTTCATAAAAATTTCTAAATTATCGATCGATATCAGTTAAAGGAATCAAAATTGATAATCGAAGCCATTACGGAGGTCCAGCCCAAAATAGGTATGAGCAAGGAAGGTAAATCAGATTCGGAAATCGCTTACAGCTTGTCCGAATCAATTATAGAGAAAATTGCTCTTCAAATAGACATCGACACTTGCCATCCTGATCACCTCAAAGTATTAAATAAAAGAAAAATTTCCTCTTAACCCATTATAATTATCGGCGATTATAAATGTCAATATCTTCAACAGAAAGACAAAACAGGTCGATTGCCGTCTTTAACAGTTGTCTTGATACATGAAGTTGAAAGGTATAATCTTCTATTGAAACAAATTCACATATCGATGGAAAATTTGCAAAAGGCTATTAAAGGATTTGTTGTCATGTCCGAAGAGCTTGAAAATGTTTTCAGATCTCTCGTTACTAATCAAGTATAATAAAAATTACATTTATATGCTCGAGAGTTTCATGCAATTTTTATGATTAACTTATATTGAAAAGTTCTCGATGTTTATTAGGTACCCGAAATATGGCATAAAGTGAATGTTTATCCATCCTTGAAAACTTTAGAAAGTTATATTAAAGATTTAGAACTTAGAATTGACTTTATAAAGGTAAACGAAGGAATTATTTTACAGTATTAAGGCAATAAGCATTCATATAATAAAATCATTGCTCAAGTAAACGTAATATTAAAATTTTTTGTCGATTAAAACAAACAAAAATAAAAATAAAAATAAAAACAAAAACAAAAACAAAAACACAAAGAAAAAAAGAAACAGAAGAAATTTCAATCTAAAATTGAAAATTCTACCTCACATATGCTGTATATATCCAACTATTCGACTAATGAAAACTAATCATAATTAATCATTAATAATCGATAATAATTCAGATTGTAATAAATAATGGGCTTTCTGTTGTGAAAACTCGTTTTTACAGATCTGGTTAACCGAGAAGAAGCCAATTTCATTTTGGATATCCGGCCTCTCTTTCCCACAAGGATTCATCACCGGCATGTTACAAACACACGCTCGGAAATATAATATTCCAATTGACCATTTGAAGTTGGATTTTAAAATCACCAATGTGTTCTTAAATCAAGAAGATATTGAAATTGTGCACAAGACGGAGAAAAAAGATGTAAGACTTTTATAAAGTGGCGCGTAATCGTTAATGGGGCATTATTATTCATAAACACTAATCGTCGTAAAGTGATTCGCCTAATATATCATCGTGAATGTCGTGTCCATCCAATGACGAATATTGAAAAGTGTGAAAATTCATTTCCAATCGCTGCTCTCCTTCCCCTAACTTCTCAACCTCGAATTTTAAACGACAAACTGCTTATCTTTTCAGCCGGCTTATGTATACCAGAGCCTGCAGGCACCGGAAGACGGAGTACTTATTCATGGATTGTTCATCGACGCCGGCAAGTGGGACAGTAAGACGCAAGTCCTCGTAGACGCGAGCAAAGGCGAAATGAATCCTCCTCTGCCCGTCGTGCTAATTATTCCAGTGCTGAGTTTGCCAGCCAATGACACAAGATACGTTAGTCCTTTGTACAAAACGAGCGTTCGAGCTGGAGTTCTGTCGACCACTGGGCACAGTACCAACTTTGTAATGTCCATCTTGCTTCCGGCATCGCATCCCCAGCCCTATTGGATTCTCAAAGGGACGGCTCTACTCATTCAAATTACAAATTGAACGTTCAACGACCTCCTATTCAAAGCCATCCTATTCGTTATTATTAATGAAACCGTATGTGTACACTCAAATGTGCGAAAGAGTCATCGATGACTCTTCGAGACTAATTTCATAAAAACCTTAAGACAAAGAATTTATTCGCACGTAAATGTACCTTAATATTCCCATTATAAAATAATTGATACATTAATTACTGAATTAATTGCCATTGAATGTAGCATACATTTTATTTTCAATTAAATCGAACATCTAAATCAACTTATTATTATGATATTTATTGTGTTTTCATGCAGATGAAATATTAATTGGTAAAACGCTTGTAAAGTCGTAGCCGAAAGTGCCGGTGTCATGCTGCAATGAAAGGCATTCCAATTTTCCTTTATTTATTATTCACGCTCCACTCGACACCCTTGATTAGCGGACGACAAAGGACTGCAAAGGACCAAAGCATATCCCTCTGCATTATGCTCGAAGTCTGGGAATAAATTGAAACAATTGCGACGAGACGACGATAACGTCCCGACAAAATTTAAGCTCTCGACTACGCATTAAAAGCTCAAAATGTATTCTCGTTGTATAGGAAATTTCTTGTCTTTGCCCTTGCAACGTAAATTTAATTACGTTAATAACTATAATAGACATAACTATAAAAAATTACCTTACATACACAACCTTTAATATATCTCGGATTAAAATTAATAAAATTACATTATCGACATTAAAATTGCGATTTTCAAATATTCGATAAATACACTCTTAAATGAAAATATGAAGAATTAAATAAATTTCCCGTGTTTTGTGCGGATTAGAACAATAATGTCGTAACTTTTTGTCAATATGCCTATAGACGTTGAACCAACCAAAACGTACGTTTTTCCATGTTATTTCAATTTTACAAACACAAATGAAATGAACGTAATATTTCTATGAAAATTATAACCAAAGTATTATATAAAGTTATATTATCATTATAAATAGTTGCATACTCGGGGAACTTGGAGGTAAATAGACTATCGAAACTATCCAAACAATCTTTATTAGATAATATTATTATTGGTTGTATTATATTCTTGATACAATTTACTTTATAATATAAAAAGAGAGACTAATGTTTATAAGAGAGATAAATCATTTTAATGTTGAATTAAATTGTCGGCACGTGCATATTCACTCTTTCTCTCTCTCTCTTTCTCTCTCTCTCTCTCTCTCTCTCTCTCTCTCTCAATTAATATGATATACCGATTCGGTAGTAAAGACTTAAATAAAAGTATTATGTGACTTGATGGTCCGTTACTACATGGCCAATTAGTAATTGTGTTGAATAAATATGTGCTTGAAAGAGGTCATATCCGTATATCTCGTGAGTTCGCCGTCGATATTTACGTGCTGGCTTAAGGTGTTAAATTTGCGATTGTTGAATGCGTCTGCGCGCTCCACAAGACATACATTTTGATTTCTGTCGTTTCACACAATTTCAATGGAGGCTATCGTAGTTCTATTAAAAAAACGCGACCCCATTTTCAATGGAGCTGTTACGTATAGAGAGGAGTTTATTTTCAAGCTTTTTGTAAGCGTCTGTCTCTTTCATCTCATTCCTACGAACGTTCTCTATTTTACTCTTATTAGCATTCGAGAATTTACTTTCAATTTACATGTTTGAGACGAGCGTCTATGAGCGTTTCTGAATTCTTTAATCCAACAGATGCAAAGTTGGGTGCATGTTATATTTTCACTTACGCCTGTTCTCACGTATATTAAACATTGTCTTTTTTGTTTTCCTTTCTCTTTAACTGCAGCTTACACAATGAAAGAGGATCTATTAATTATTAAAAAAAAACATGGTGTCTCATCGTGCATAAAAGAATAAAATTACAAGTATTTGTTAATGAGGCGATATTATTTATAATGCTATAGCATTCATAAAATATATAAAAGTTTAAATAAATGTAAAAACAAACAAAAGGCACTTTTCTCTTCTTTTTTTCTTTTGTAAATAAATATATTTTATTTTCTAAAACAACAACAAATAAACAGAATAACAAATGGTATCTGTCTACTCTGATATTTAATAGTAATAAAGTTTATGTTATACCCTGTTGAACTTAATTTAAATATATTATCACCTTTATGTTTACGTGTTATCGTGTTATCATTACAAATATTACATTACGTAATTTTAAATCCACGAATGATTAGTGAAAAAAGCAAAATTATTAAAATTTAAGCTTTAACAATTAAATTAAATGATTGATATGCAATTTTTACTTAATTTTTACACTTTTTACATAAAATCTACATACTGTGCTTTAAAAGCTACTAGATATATTAAATATGAAATGTCAAAGTTATCGTTATGTAATTCTTAATCCAATGTATTAAGACAATACAGTACAATACAATACAATACAACTTATTGTATTATTATTAAAAGAATATTCAAACATAAAATTAAATAAATTGCCCAAATTTACAATTTAAAATGTTTTAATTTTGAAATAAAATATATCCAAAAATATTATAAAAATAAAATTTTACTATTATAACTGTAGCTATTTTATTTTTAATACTTTGTTTTTCTTTTCGTTTTTCATGAATATATAATAATCCTTAATTACGATTAATTAAATTGTATATGATATATTGTAGATTATACACTACATTATAATTAAGTCATACTTTTAATTATGTTGCTAATCAGTCCAATAAAGATTTATATATTTGAATGACTTCTAAAAATTGAAATCATAAAAATATATCAATAATTCAAGATGTTCATCGATACAATTTAATCATCCTTATAAAGTATAAACACAAAGAAATAATTATCCATTCAAAAGCATTAGAAATCTTCATCTTAAATATAATTGTATGTTAATAGTCTAATTACGGAAAAAATTGCAAAATTACATATTAATAAGATGATAGATTTAATGCATTTTGTTACAAATATATCGATAAATTACAAAATAAAAATTATTAAATCTATCTTAATAATTTAAATGTATTAATATATAAAAATATATAACCTAAGTTAAATATCACACAATAAATTAGTATAGTATGGGGTAAGTAAAAGAATAATTTTTGTCTATTTTTAGGTGTTTGATATCGCTTGTGGACATAGAATATTTTACTATTTCGCTTAACTTCTTAAAACATCTTATTACCAAGTTCTCTTTCTTTTCTCGATATTATAATGGAATGATAATTGTAATCATCTTGATCGATAGTCCACATTAGAATCATATATACCGTTAATAAAGAGGCAAGAATAAAACGGTCTATACTGTAATACAAACATTCATTATTTACATTTCTACAAATTTATAATTAAAATGTGATATAACGCATAATAAAATTTCACACAATTATATATATCTTACGTCATGACTGGATAAACCCATAATATAATTAAAAATCCAGAGAAGCTTGGATGCCTCATGTGCATAAAATATCTTTGAAGCTCCCGAGATTTCATTGCCATAGGACGAGGTCTGCCGGAAATTTTATAATAAACCTGCTTTATTCCAGCCAGCTCTGATATATCCATCATGACGCAACCAGTGTAGACTATCAGCCATCCAGTAAAGTGTAAGAAACTAATAACAAACGACATTTTATCATTCCCATCTATATTAAAATTCCAAATTAACGACCATGGTATGGATTGCCATGTTGACATCAAAAAGTGCAAAACAGCTGCACTGCTCATGTTAAAAACACTACGTTCTATATCTTCTATGTTGAATTTGTAATAAAAATCTTTAACAATGTCACTGGCCATCACCGAATGTTGCAGTATAAAAATACTAAGTAAACTTGTGTTTAATAGTAAAATCCATAATGTTTTTAGAATTAGGCCTAGTAATACAGACATTATTGTAGAAAATCCTTAAAATCGATAAAATAATACTCTCTATCAAAATATTTACCTTGCTGCAATTCGTGATTAGCCGTTTTCAATTTTGATAAAAAATAAGTGAAATTGCAAAGTACATAGAATGTGTATAAAAAACTACTAATGCATATAGAAATTCTAAATAATTTTAAAAGCATCCTCGACTATAAAATTATGAAGAAATATATAATGAAATTGTATTACAAATGTAATTGTTTTTTATTTTCTCCACTATTAAATAAGAATTCCGCTTAGAATTCCATACTATTATATACTACTGTCACGGATTGCTGTGAAGTTATTTATTTAGGTTAGAGGTTATGTAGATCGAATACACAAACGTCATAAAATCAAATGAAATTAGCACTTTTGGAAAAATAAATATTACGTGTTTACATAAATAAGTCCTTCACAATTCATATAAATAACTTTGCGCCAAAGCCATTCAAACGTATATCCTACTAATTAAACGAAATATTCACATAAATTAAAAAATAAGGAAGTAATTTTAATTTATTACGATTTTATCCTTAGGGATATTTACTATTTTTCTAATTTGCTTATTTACGAATTTTATCTAATTTTTTTTTTTTTTTTTTTTTTTTTTTTCGTATTTAACGATCGCTTCATAAAATCATAATATGAGACGATTACAATTTAGTAAACGTTTAAAAATTTCTTTTCGAAAAGTTCATATTTATGAAACAAACATGTAATAGTTTTGCAAGTAAATTTGAATTTAACCAATAACATATTAAAGGATATTTCTTCTTGACTGGGGTAAAGATGGCAGCACGTAACGTAATTTTTACCTGCAAAGCACGAGAAATAAATTGTTTGTCCATTTGCCGAAAATCGTGCGTTGGGTTTGAAATTATTAGCTTTTAGAAAAATTGCCTCAACTTTACCATAGAATCCTTACAGTGACGGATTTGTTGAGGATGAAAAAATTCTAAAATATCTTCTCTTTATTTTTGAATATCGGTATATTACAAATAATTGACTTACTATATTTATTTTATACACTTGACATTTAATAAAATATTTGTTTCATATCCGTTTAATCTGTTAAATATGCATAAATATATTTATCTGGATTTATTTATCCATTCGAATGTCTAAGAGTACAAATTTTCCCCAACCTAATAATAATGTTGTTTTTCATTAAGCGCTGTATTTAATAATTATATATAAGACTCGTATTTGATATCCATTGAATAAGTGGATTCTACTTTCTCTGCCGGAAAATCTCTCGTTTGTGGCATATCGTAATTTATAATCAAGAATTACGGTTAGAGAATAGAAAGGAGATGAATACAAAGATTATCGTTGCTACGCTAAAAGAGTTTGTCGGCTTAGATTATTATGGACATAGTAAACTTATGCTGAGTATTTAAATGAGGGAAAGGTTAAGAGAAAATGCGTATACGTAAATCAAGTTTTATCCATTTCTACATTCAATGCATAATATTCGTACTCTACTACTCGTTTGATATATTCGCGACCATTATTAAATTTTTGCGATATAGAAACGAATCCAAGTGTGACGTTAGTAATTACCTCAAATAAACGGCCAACAATTCGATTATTTGGACAAATTTATATTTATTCAATGGTAAAGAAAAACGTAATAATGCTCTATAATTAATGAACTTCAATAAAAAGCAATTTTATTTATTATTATTATTATTTTATTTATTTATTTATTTATTTTTTTTTTTTTTATATATTAAAGCTCTGTAAGCTATGTTAATATAAAATATATTATTTATACATCCTGAATGTCTCGTTCGTGAAATAATTATAAAATTTATCTACTAGTTTCATAGATAATATACAAACTATCTATTTTGTTTTGAAATAACTGCCCTTTGAAATGAAACAATTGGAAAAAATGTGTTTTAAAATTATTAGAAATATCGAGACGTTTGTAATGTTTTGAATTAAATTTTACTTCTCCGTTTTGTTTTGTGTTTTGTTTGTTAAGACTTATAATTGTCGAATTGTTGAGTAAGGTTCAATAACCCATTTTAGATCCGAAATGAGCAGTTTAATAAAAGTCAAACATGTTCACAGTTCCGAGTAGTTAAATTTGTTTGGATTTAAGTTTGTTGTTTATTATGGGGTTCGTTGCAGTGGCGGTGGAAAACTTGATTTGGCATTTTCCATTACTCCAATAATAATATTTAAATGTATTTTAACGTGTTTGACTGTACATTTTATAATTCATCTATGTCGACTTTTCATATTTTTGTACTTTGAGTAGAAACAAAGAATGAACCAAATGTTCACATAAACAGTGTTCCTATGGTAAGTGAGCTTGAAAAGAAGATGATCCAGAGAAAATTGCAACTGTATTAGTAATAGGACTTTGTTAGTGCGCGACTCAAACATTACCTGCGTCGTTCGTCATAATTATTTTAAGTTTTAAACAAATACCTCCACAAACTCATATTTGATATTATTTAGCGTTAATCCACTAAATTAAATTTCCATTTGGAGAGATTAAATATATATATATATATATATATATATACATTTATTATTATTATTATTATTAATTAATTAATTAATTAATTAATTAATTAATACCGTTTATATTGAGTCGAACGAATTCTATTGCAAGCTGACGCCAAAACAAAAGTAGAGGATTTCTAAGTGAACTTAAAGTCTGAATTTTTAAAATGAAAAAAAACTTGATTTTTTGGGAGCATTTTTACAATTATCGTTTAATGGTGCCTAGGTCACTTTATTTGCGAAAGGCAGCAGTTCTCCTCGTTTATTCTAGCCTCGTTAAACGAAGGTCCGTTGTTAGACTTGTACCAATCAAAATATGGCAACCTTTCAAGCGCTGGATTAGAGTCAGAGATACGCTTTGAGATCAACGCTTACCGTAAATACCTGACGCGCATGCGTACACAAGTGCACAGATGCAGACCCAAAAGTTTCCAAATACTACCTTTTGCTATTTTGATTCATTTGAAGATTCAAAGTGCGACAAATACTTATAACGCGACAATTTCATTTAACCTTTGGCTTAACCAAATTGACATTGATTTAACAAATCGAGAGATATCAACATAATTCTATGTGCTATTGATCAAATATTATCAGCGCCCTGGCATCGAAGTAGCCAGCCACACATGTATACTAAATCGCGATGATGCACTACCAAGCCCAAAGCGTAACGGTATCGAAACACACGCGCGCACGCACACGTCTATACGAGACACGTATATAAGAGCCAAGAGCCAAGGTTTACGGTGCGCATGCGAATCTACGACGTACGTCATTTTAGCCAGATGAAACGATGCTCATGGATACTAGCTATTTGCATCGCGCTTGCGCACTGAATCGCACTTCGTGTTTAATTTGTCGAGTGTTTTAATACCCTAAATCCATCGAAATCTAATCAATGCAAAAGTTACTAAGTAAGTTAATGTGTCTGAAACCCAAGCTCATTCGTAATTGAGCACCGTTGCATTTGCATTTGCTGGCATTAGAAATTAAAAACAAAACCAAACACACACAAAAAAAAAAAACCAAAAAAAAATCGAATAACTTTCGGTAAGTATCATTAGGTGCAAAACGAGTTTGAAAGGAAAAAAAAAAAAGACTTATTATAGTATCGCCTTTCGTAATTTTCAAACTTCGTCTTCATTAAATCAAAGTCTATCGACAATTTTATTAACTATCCGAGAACCAAAATTAGAAATTTTCAATACCAACCCTATATTTCATCATCTATATTATTCCTCAACTAACAGACGCCTCGGAGTAATTATAAATATCATTTTCAAATTCTTCAAAATGCAATGCAATACGGCTATTTATTTCCATTTCTTACTATTTGCGTGAAAACATAGACAGCAAAAAAATTTGAAAGAATGCCGTTGAAATTTCATAGCCTCGCTTCATTGAAAGTAACGATAACTTTTCTTTATGAAAACTTAGCTAAATAATATTTATAATAATGCTTTATTAATTTTATTATATAAATTCTGCTTTATTATTAAATTCACTTTCATATTACAAAATATTATCTTTATTGTTTATTATCGATCGGTGGAACTTAATTAAATCGATAGCGAATAGTTTAATTTTCAAATCCATAATGGATTACGGTAATATTACTAATTCTCGCAGACTTAAGCATTGGGTTGGTTATGCATACATGAAGCTATGAATACACAAACTTATATCGTCGAGCACTTTTCATTATTACCTTTTCTCTTTCTGTCAGCTTTTTTCTACAACCTCTTATCTCTGCTCTTGAAAATGAATCATGAAAAGAGCACTAAAGGTCTGATACTGAAAGAAAAAGGTAAATCCTGCGCGATCAATCCTGCATTCAATAGACGGTTCATGATGATAAATTAATATAAAATTCCGCAGTTAGCAACGTAACAATGAGAACGAAATGCTTTCAGGGGCGAAAGGAGTGAAATGAAAAAAAAAAAAAAAAATTTTTCCTAGATGCATTGATTCTACGGACCCGACAATTAATTATGTAAATTGTTACGTTCAAATTGTCTGTTGGCTAAAGATGAATGTTAAATATGTAAATAGGTGAAGATAAATTAAATTTATGAAGGTAATTGTTAAGGGATGAATAGAAGAGATGTTTGGCGATTAAATGCTAATTAGAATTAACGTAGCATGAAAGAGAACTTTGGCATTATAAGGCAGATAAGATATAAGGAAGTAGTACGGTACGTTGAAAGATTAAAGGATTCTTATGAAATGGAGTAGAAAAATTCTTATTATTATGTAGGATGCTAAAGATAAGCAAGAATCCGTGTATTTTTATATAGATGAGTGGTAGATATGTTTTAGAAAATATTTTCCCTAATTCTCCTGTGCGGGTATTATCAATTTACGTAATAAACAATTTAAGTAATAAACAATCAATTTATTATAATGTACATGTAAAATTCATCTAAATTAGGAAATTATTTGTTAAATATCGCACGAGTAAATGAAGAAATATGGAAAATTTTATTTCTACGTATATGTGCGTGCGTGCGTGTGTGTACGCGCGCGCGCTTATATATATATATATATATATATATATATATATATATATATATATATATATATATATATATATATATATATATATATATATATATATATATATATATATATATATATATATATATATATATATATATATATATATATATATATATATATATATAGCCAGAAAATAAGCCATAATTATTGCGTATAAAAACAACATATTAATCGAAGAAATTAAATTTTAATGGGAAATCAAATTGAATATTGACGTTATTGATTTTTAAACATTTTCAATGTTATCAATGCTCTCTTATGTTATATGAAATTTGAAAGATTCGAAGAAATTTCTAGAACACGTAAGTATAGTAAATTTTAACATTAGCACCACATCGTGATACAATGTGTGATTTTACGGTTTACATTGATTGTAATTTATAACCCAGAGTAATTATTATTTCGCAACTTAATCAAATAAAGATGAGCAAATAAACTCCTGGACTGCGCATGATCCGTTATGATAAATGCGAAGGGGAAAAAGCTCGCGATGGTGGGGGTAAAATTCTCCGATTAATTAATTGCCCGACAGTTTTTCTCCTGGTACGCGCGGACGTAGTTAGGCCGCTTCGTTTATTTTTTATCCAGTCGTTTTATAAATTATTCCGCAAACATGTGAAAGTCTATCGGGATAGTTAACCAGTGCTACACACTCGTCTACGTTCGTAAATTCATTAATTGGTGTAGAACTGTATTAAGCACTGGAAAAAAAAGCCAAGCGCAGGTGCGAGTCGTCCGTAAGCGTCGAGTTAACCTCAAAAAAGAGTTCCGCAATGGCGGTGGGCTCAACGAAAGTCGTCCAAGTGACGAATATCGCGCCCCAAGCCACCAAGGATCAAATGCAAACTCTTTTTGGCTATCTCGGGAAAATCGAGGATATCAGATTATATCCAACTATAAGAGATGTGGCGGTGCCGGTTCAGTCCAGGATATGTTACATCAAGTTTCATGATCATAGTCATGTTGCGGTGGCCCAGCACATGACCAATACAGTTTTCATTGACCGAGCCCTCATAGTTATTCCTTATCAAAATGGTGACATTCCCGACGAGCAAAGGGCTTTGGAATTAACCAATAATGGCACTGTTGTACCTGGTACGATTAACTTTCATAACAATGACTTATTTCATTCGAATGGCTTCCAAATCATATCTTTAAAAGCCTCCAAATATTGTATAAGATATGAAAAAAATCATTGTATCGATTGATCCTGCTACTACAGAATTATATCAGCTTTGTATTTCCAACGACATAGAAATTTTGAAATTAGTTACTCGATTGTTTACAGTCTCACAATTCAATAACATGTTTTAAGCTCTATCCAATAAGAAAGCTTATAAAATAATCGATATCATAAATATGAAAGACATTAAGGATTTTTTAGTATAAATTATTCTTAAGAATAACAGACTCATTTAGTACAATTATAACGATAAATAACAAAAGAAAAATATTACAATACACGATTAAAGAATCGATACTTTTATAAATAATATTAAATATTATTAATTATATATATTTTACTATTAAATTTAAGTAGATTCGAATTAGGTCAAAGTATGAAAAAGTTTTTTTTTTTGTTTAATTTAAAATAAACAATGTGGAATTTTTATTTTTCAAATGTTTATAATATCAATAATCCAATTGCATCGATCATCATTTTTATAAATGTTTGCAATATTCATGGAACTTTTTAAATTATTGAACTATATTTTAATCAATTTCTTTTTCTTGAACATAATTTCTAGTTTATTAACTTTTAATATCTTTTTCTTTTATAACCGTACATATTGGACAATAATAGAATTATATATTTCTTTCCAAGAATTATACGCATAACCAATAATGATTAGTTAATTAAAGTTCTATAGTTTATTATATATTATATAACAAGGTAATGTAAAAATAAGTATAAATATTGTTTATTATAAAGTAAATTTTATATACGTAGACAAATATTATAATAACAAAAATTATGTATTGTCAATGTTGTAAGCCCAAACTTTTAATGTAATCTCTCTTTACAATATACGCTCTTTTATATTATTAAACTTTCGGCAAATATTATAAGTCGCAAGATCATGAAGATTATTTATCAATTTATCTACCGTTTTTAATGTCATATAAAAGATTATGGATAACATTGATTAACTTTTATACAGGACTGTATCCATCCGAGCCCAAACTTCCACCGAACGTAGTAAATGCTATCGAAGGAGTTCCACCCAATCATGTAATAACTACCATGGATCCTAAACTTGAAGCTAATGGTCTACCCGTATATCCACATTTACCCGGTCATTTGGATAGTAGAAAGATCGAAGAAATTCGTAGGACCTTGGTAATTGGTAACTTGGATTCGACTACCACGGACAAACAGCTGATAGAATTTTTTAGCAATCACAACATTGATATAAAATACACACGACTCTGTACCAGAGATTCGGACAGCAGTTCGTATGCCTTAATTGAATTCTCAGAACAAGCTTCCATTGTACCTGCACTAATGCTTAATGGCCAAATACTCAACAACAAACCTATCAAAATGGGTCATTCTGTGCAGGCCATACTTAAGCCCGAGGCTAAAAGTAACGAGGCGGCACAAAAGGAGATTGAAGAAGCAATGTCACGGGTTAAAGAGGCACACAATCTTATTTCTGCAGCTATAGATCCCATGATCGGCATGCTGTCCAAAGATAAACGTAGTCGTAGTGGCTCCCGTGGCCGAAAATCTAGGTTGGTTTCACACAATATCTACCTTACCAATTTCAATTCTCTTGCGTCTTCTGAAATTAACTAAATAGCTTAATAATTGTATATTTTTATAAATGTCAGAGTTTAAATAGTAAATTATTCTTCTTTATTTTTTCTTTTTCTTGTTCTTTTGTTTAATTTTTACCAAACATCGATTGAACACTAAACACTTCGATACGATAAATCGTAAAATTTTTATAACTAACACTAAGATATACAATGACACTAATATTTTATAAAATATTGTTACTTTATAATTGAACTACTAGCTAATACTTTTTTTTACTATCTATTACAACTAATTTATAATATTGTTACTATTTTATACAAACATTTGGCATAATAAAGATGTCTGGTTCGTGTTATTGTCCTATTTAATTTTAATACATTTATGTACATTGAATTTATTATATTGATAATCGATCAAATAAAGGACATACCTCTTACAAACTCTGAAAGTTCACATACAGTCTCATGTATAATATTGTAAATTTTTTCCTAAATATAAAATCCGATTTTTCATGTTCATCGTGAATTAATCAGTAGTAAATAGGAATAAATTTGTAGACTAAATGATCTGACTGAAATAATCTGCTTTATTGTTGGTAATAATGCTATTACCAACACACCCACGCAATTCTGCCTATTATTAAAACTTTGTATCTCCTTTATAACCCATGCCCCTTCTCCCCGACATCGATCATTCTAATATTTGTTACTTTTGTATATATTGTAGATCGAGATCACGGGGACGATCGCGTCGCTCGCGCTCACGTAAGCGCTCACGATCGCGGCACAGGCGTTCACGCTCCCGGCATCGACGCAGATCTCGATCGCGATCACGCAAGCGCTCGCGCTCCAGGGAACGTCGCAGGAAATCGCGCTCGCGCAGGCGCAGCACCTCCAGGACGCGGTCTCACCGCTCACGGTCCAGGGATAGACGCTCAAGGTCGCGACGTTCGCGCTCGCGATCCAGAGATCGAAAAAAGAGATCATCGCCCGCCAGGTAAGATGCTACTTTCGATTGGTGCCCGACCAACAAGAGCCGCTCGTCAGAGTCCTTATCCTCACGACACATTGAATGAAAGATGTTTCTGCCTTGATTGATGCATTAGTAGTTACTAGCGGTGCTGTTTCTGTTCCATTCGCCTACTCTTTATTATTCAATAATCATTTTTAATGTCGAGATAAGTGATTTAAAGTTGTATTTAATAAATCATATTTCTTTGTCGGCGAATGACGGTAATTTGGCTTTGAAATATTTGGAATAATAAGCCAATTAATTACATTTTCGTGATAATGATAATAATTTGAAATTTCGTTAAGAATGACTTTTAGAATTCGAATGACAAAAGCTCTGCTTATAATTACAATTGACGAAAGCTTTATTAATTATTTGAAATCGCCAGCTGCAAACGAGTGAAAAGTCACAGTTAAGTAAAAATCAATTAAGGTCGATGAAAAAGTCATTAAAAAAAAAAAAAAAAAAAAA